GGGCCCCCCCCCCCCCAGACCCCCCCATATTTCACAAACTGGTGACAGGTGACTCGTAGTTCCATAAGGCTGATTTCAGGCGACCATTTAAGTGCCTGGTAAAGAACATCTGAGGTTCCCCGAGAACTGGGTTAAGAAACGCATCAGTAGAATATGTTTTTGATATGATTCAAAAGAAACATCACCTTAGAGGCCAAGTTCTGAGAGTTAAATGTAGTGGTTAAGTGATCAATTTTTTCCACATTCCTGCTAAGTATGGATCACACGAAAGTTTCTACAGAGATGATAATGGGGTGTAAAAATCCCTTATGTTTCATATTCAGTGTTACTCATGTACTTGTGATGTGTTTGGCATTTCTGAAGGCCGTGACCCCTGCCAACTTCCTGGCTGTGCTTACGGGTGATGCAGCAAAAGTTACCGGAGGCTCTGGAAAGGTTCTGAAAAGGCAAGTCCCTCAAAGTCCCTATCTGAGCAACGATCTTCACAGGATGAGTGCCGGCAGACTTTTGTTACAGAAATAAGTCAAATAGGTTCTTGGTTCTTTTCACAGTGGTCCAAATGATCATGTGTTCGTGTACTTCACTGACCACGGGGCACCGGGTCTTCTAGCCTTTCCCAGCGATGATGTAAGCAGGCTTCACTTCTCCATTACCAGAAATCAACGTGACATCTACAACTAGAGAGAAACTTTGATTTGTGTGTTGTTTAGTATTAAGTTGCATTCCCGGCATAGTCTTTTGAATTAAGACCCTTTACTGTTCTAAAATGTGCTTTGAAGTAATTTTAATAAAATTGTGTGGGTTCTTTGTTTTCTTAAATTTGAAAGTTTGCCTACAAAAATGAAACTTTACTTGAGGAAAGAAGGTGTTAATACGTATGAAGTGTGGGTGTCATGACGTGTGTCACATGTTGTCTCGTGACTGGTTGCGTTGCTTCAGTTTCGTTTGTGTCTAATTTGTTTTTGTACTTGAAGTGAAAGTGGCAGCATATTGTTCACTTGTTTATCTTCTGTGCTATCTTATAGCTCCATGTTAATGACCTCATGAATGCCATCAATTACATGCATGACAACAAGAAGTACAAAAAGGTATTTTGTTCTTAATTGCTGTAATTGTGGTATGTAAGTTAGTAATGTAAAAAGACATTTCCCATTGATTATTTGTTTTAAAAAGTGGAAATTATTTGAAGGATATCTGTGATTGGTATAATGCGCATGCTGAAAGAATGACTAGTTTAGTATTATTATTTACTATTATTGCCATTGTTGTTCATTGTTAATAATAATTTTTTTAACTAGCTGGTGTTCTACATTGAGGCTTGTGAGTCTGGGTCTATGATGAATCACCTGCCCACAGACATTGAGGGTGAGTTTTTTTCCCATAGATGGTATTTAGTCCTGCATTCCATAGGTATTTAGTCCTGTATTTGCCATTAATTGAATGCCAGTTGGCAAATGGAGATACGTAAACTTGATGAAAACACTTGGAGGCAAATCAAGAGACCAGGACTCTCCTGAGGACCAGGACCCAGATTCCTGGAGAGATCTCGTTAGCGGCCTATCACACAGGCAATGATGACGATGATGAAACTCAAAAGCAACACTGTCCACTAACCACTTTATGTGTTGCCACGCCGACTTTGACCGGATCAGCATTTAGACAGGCTGCTTCGGCCTGACTTGCGGTCGCACGTGTTATAAACGCTGACTATCCAAAGAATGTTGTAAGTCTCAGCTCATAGCTGAACCGATATCTGCGACGCTGCTAATTGTACGTCTCTTCTGCCACATTCACCGAAGCTACATCAAATCATGAACCATACGCAGCTGAGAGAGGATTTTCTTGAGGAGACTATGCTTAATTACCGTATATATTTTTTCAGTTTATGCCACGACGGCTGCCAACCCTCATGAATCTTCCTACGCCTGCTACTATGACGAGAAGAGAGACACCTATTTGGGAGACTGGTACAGCGTGAACTGGATGGAGGATTCTGATGTGGCAAGTGTTCTCAGATCACTTTGACAGTCCATGCTGATGTGTAACCTCTAATGCTTAATCGGTCTGATGATTGTTTAAACCAGGACAAACAGCTTTTTTCCATCAGCATAAATAGATTCAATCAATTTCTTTAACTTCAGTCCAAAGCTAGTCATGTTTACGATATATTTATGATACGTTAAGACTGAGGTGTCTGCATGGTGTAGTTCATATAAAATGTTTGTATAAATAAAAGTAATAAAAGTTAATATAATCCTAAAAAATATCCTCAAAAAGATAGTATAACTTTAAAAACAGATATTTTTATCCATTTCAAAAATTGTTTTGCGTAAATGTTGGAACAGTGATATGTTGTGTAAGCCTATGTAGACAACAGCAGCATTAATATATTCTTGAACTTTTTTCCCACCTTGCAGGAAGACCTGTCCAAAGAGACACTACAGAAGCAGTTTAAGATCGTAAAGAGCCACACTAACACCAGTCATGTCATGCAATATGGAAATAAAGTGAGCAGCCTTCAACAATATATCATGCTACTTTGTAACATGTGCACAGGTTTACTAGTTACTATGATCTGACTTCTGTCTGCCCGCAGACTCTAAGCCATATGAAGGTGGTGGAATTTCAGGGTAACCCCAAAGCCAGCATACAGCCTGCCCCCCCTGTTACTCTGACACCTGTGAATGAACCTGACCTGACCCCAAGCCCAGATGTGCCTCTAGCTATTCTGAAGAGGAAGCTAATGGCTTCCAATGACATAGTTATAGCTAGGAAGTACATTAGGGAAATCAATGCGCACCTAAAGGTAAGATGTCAAACTTTAAAAACAAAAAAAAAAGCTACATTTTTGAGCTGCTTTGGCCTTTGTTTGGCATTCTGAATATTGCAGTGCACGCAGTGTTTATAATTAAAATCCTGGGAAAATATTTAACCATATGCACAACAGTGTATCCTGTTATTTAATAACATTGCTTTAGGTTTTCATTACCTAAACGGTTACAGTTTTTGGTCAATGGTTGTTTGACAATTTTTGATAAATACTTATACTTTTGTATTTTTGTTGTGTATGCTGAAAAAGTGTGTGTGTGTGTGTATATGTATATATGTATAGAGAGAGAGAGAGAATTTATTCTCACTATGAACACTGGCAGTAGGTAGAAATATGACAATTCTTAGGGAAAAAACGACAATGTACATTAAGTTATTGACTGAGGAGGGATGGGGAGGATTAGGATTATGGAGACAGGTTTAGGATGACCAGGGCCCCACCCTGGAGCCAGGCCTGGGGGGTTGGGGCTCACAGGTGAGTGCGTGGTGGCTGGGGAGAGGGAGGTCCGGTCACGCCTGCTCAGACTCCTGACCCTGCAACCCAGCCCCGGATAAGTGACAGAAGATGGATGGATGGATGGTTTGTTATTTCTGTGCCCCCTACTTTAATGACTGTTTGTGGCCAACAGGGGGCCCACACGGCCACGTGTTTTGAGTGGTGGTAAACACTATTGTCGTGTTTAAAATGTATAGTGAAACGTCAGGCTGTTGTGTGAAATACTGTACAAACTGATCTTTCTAGGTAAGAGACTTGCTTAGGAATACCATGGAGGAGGTGGTGAACAAAGTGACCCGCGACCCAAAGAAGTCTCAAGAGATCCTTAATGACAAGCAAGATCTCACAGAGTTCCAGTGTTACCAAAAAGCAGTCGAACACTACAAGTCCCGTTGTTTCAACTGGCACAAATCTGAGGTACACTTCTTTCATTGTTCTCTTTTTAATGACTGTACCCTTGCCAGTCTTAATGGTATTAATGGTATTTATAGTTCCTATATTAATGGTTATTTTGAATCCCATGCATTTATAATAGTTATAAACACACTCTTGGAGAAAAAAATACACTGCCCTAATGTGTTTATTTTTCCGGTCCATTTCAGTATGAATATGCCCTGAGACAACTCTATGCTTTAGTGAATCTGTGTGAGAACAGATACCCACATGAAAGGTAACTTCTTTATTTTCTATTGCATTATGTATTTAGTATGGGGACCAGGAGCATATCCTAGGCAGGACAGAGCAGGCAGATGTGCATGTCCTAGGCGGGACAGAGCAGGCAGATGTGCATGTCCTAGGTGGGACAGAGCAGGCAGATGTGCATGTCCTAGGCGGGACAGAGCAGGCAGATGTGCATGTCCTAGGCGGCACGGAGCAGGCAGATGTGCATGTCCTAGGCGGCACGGAGCAGGCAGATGTGCATGTCCTAGGCGGCACGGAGCCGGATGTGCATATGTCCTAGGCGGCACGGAGCAGGCAGATGTGCATATGTCCTAGGCGGCACGGAGCAGGCAGATGTGCAT